GCCCTGTGTGAAGAGGGAGAGAGCTGAGGAGTGCTTGCTCTGGGTGTGGTGTCTGTTCATGTCTGTTCATTAAACACACTTGTCTCTGCAAAACCTGTCTGCCTTGCTCTTTGTATGTGTGTATGTTGAACTTCCTTCGCACCGTACGTAGCCAACCGTGCTAATCGGAGGTGCCGGAACATGCAATCAAATGATCTCGTGCCAAAGGCACACGTACAGCCCTTTTGTCAATCTACTGCTGGATGAGGGCCACCCTACGCCCTGCGGGTTAAGGTCGCGGTGGTTAGTTTACCATAGTTCTCCACGCACATTCATTTAGCTATCGAATGTTGTCACACGTGACTACACAGTTAGAGCAGCACGTGTCACGTGTTAACCGGGATCACTGAAGATCCGGGCCGGACAACCGCAGCTTTGGATTCCCGGACATTCCGAGGGATTCGCTGCAAGAGGGGAGGTGGAGACACGGCAAGGTGGAGGCGGGGAGAATAGACGCGTGAACATTCAAAGACAGTCCAACACAATTGATGTTGCTCCACCGCCCCTGCTGACCGACCAACATGTAGCCCCGCACCATCGGGACAACTTGACTGTGCGCTCGCATGTGGAGGTGAACTCGTCCTGGATGGCCTTGGCGGGTGGTGGGACTGAACCCAGTGGGTGGTGGCACTGGTACCTGCGGGTTATCACTGGAATCGCCGGCCCGCCAGCGCAGATCCATCCGGAGTGCGCTGGTTCTCCGAGCGAACTCGTCACTTAGCCTGGCAGTGAAGCTGCTTGCGGTGCGGGCGCCGCGTGAGTCTGGCGGAGCGGTGGGACCCTTGCTCAGGCACAGAGTTGTGGCATTGTACATTTACAATGACATTGACATTTACAATTGTAAATGTTGTGGATTTATTCTTCAACACACCGGTGTGATGTACTTGTAACGAGTTGGCATGTTTTGTTTACGTGACAAACCTTACTAATTGGCTGTGTCGGGTGGTGGCTGGTTTAACGACACATTTATATATTTACGCGATCTAAATCCCCAAAAAACCTGTATTATGGATGATATTGGTCGCAAAAGCCGACGTGTTAAAGTGACAGTCTTGATTTGTGCCTCGGGGAGGTCTCGGGGCAGCTGTGAAGACGTCCTCCGAGTGAGAGATTTCTCTTCACTCATCGCGAGCAGATTCGAGCATCGTAGCCACGCCGTTTGAGACCCACTCAGGGCGGGGGAAATGCGCCCGTGGCTGTGATGAGAGACGATGTCACGACGCGAGGCTGCACTGGGGACATGTAGCAGGTCACGGTCTCCACGCTCTAGGAGGGCACACCAGCAATGGTGATGGCAGTTGGTGCAGCAAACGACGAATTAGCAACGAACACCGTGGGAGTCGCTCCTAAATATTCACTTTGAAAGAGGAAGGGCCAGGGTCTAAAGAAGATGAACCATCCCTGTTGATTCAAAGTTATACAAGGAGAGTATCAGGATTTGTTGAGTCGTGCCAGCCGATCTTCTATTGTTCCTGAGGCTTTTGGCAGTGTCAAGGGGGTTGCGTGGTGTGGACTTGAGGGTCATGGGGACAGCATTTTAGTGTTTTGTTGTTTTGTTTCATATTGTTTATGCATGCCTACCGAGGGTAGCTAAAACAGTGATATCACTTTCACGGGAAGGCCAATAACATGACGAGGTTTTTATTAATTAGAACACCAGATTTTCAGAGGTTACTCATAACAGCCCCACCTCGTGGAGATGTCACGAGCCGCCGCTGGTTAGATCGCGTAAATATATAAATGTGTCTTTGAACCCGCCACCGCCCGACACAGCCAACTAGTAAGGGTTGTCACGTAAACAGAACGTGGCCAATTCGTCACTAGCACAGCACTAACCGGTGTGTTGGAGAGCCAAGCCACAACATTTACAAACTGAGTGACGACGTTTCGCCAGTAATTACAACTGGCTTCATCAGGCGACAACCAGATTTTTGAAGACGTCCACCTGTTTCGTTCCTTATATAGAGGCGTAGGTGTCGGTGGCGTGACTTAATGAATGCATAAGTTTACAAATTCCTCCGAAACGAATGCATACGAGACATGCCACCTGACGATTGACACTAAAAAGAACATCTGTCACAGCAGCGTGCGTTTGAATGCATTCGAACATTCATCTGAAGCAAAGTTATCTCGACAGGAACTGAGTGCTCACGAACCGTGACCGCGTGTCATTTAAGTCGACAAGCAATTTCCAAACGAGCAGAAATATATTGTAAGCAGAAACAACGCAGGCATTCTGAAACTAATCTTCACCTGAGTGACCTTCCCCCCCCCCCCCACAGCTTTTGCGTGACCCCTTAAAGTCAGAGTCAGGGCTCACGCCCAGAAGGGTACAATCGTAAACGTTCACGACACGAGGAAATCAACTTGAGAATTCCCCCCCACCGACCTCCTCGAACGAAACACAACGGCGCAGAGAGAAGAGCTGAGAGCTGTCACCGGCGGTGTCCCGGGGTTGAAGCGGCGAGTTCTGGGTGAGGGGCAGCAGCTTTCTTTCCCTGTGCATTTGCATATCGCGAGAGAACTAAACTCAAAGCACAGCAATTAATTAGTCTTAGCCAAAGGGGCTCATTAGAACACGCGATAACAAGACGAGACGTTACCCGCCCCTGTCTTTTGACATCTGTGGAAAAGAGCTTCACAACTCATCTGATTCCTCCTGCAGTCTTGAGAAAGACAAAGAGTGCACCCGGAAAGAGGTCTCGTGCAGATATTTTGCATAGAAGCGGGGAGGGGAGATCCCCCGGGGCAAGGGCACCTTTTGTTCCCCGACGAGACGACGGTTGGCGGAATGCACCACTCACTCGTGGCGCAATGAATGTTCCAGAGTCTTTTGTCTTTGAGAAATGTGAACCTGGCCGCAATAACCACACTGATGTGTCGCTCAGGTAACTCTGACAACGGTGTACAAACATGACAACGCGTATGTTTGCGTGGCCAATTTCAACAAGAAACTTCGTTTTTTTTTTAAAACAAAGGTACCTCGCTCAGATCTGAGCACTCTACTCACAGAACGTGAATCATAATAACGGCTGCGACATACACAAAAAAAGTTTAAAGGTATTTTTAAAATGTCATTATTCTTTGTAATAGTATATATGTTGTGTGTCTCTTAACTATACTCTTTGGTTCTTTCGGTAAAGTCACGTAGGTATAAAAATAAAATAAATCACGACGAGGTATAAAAATAAAATAATCACGACGTTTCGGGCACAACACAAGCGTCGTGATTGATTTTATTTTATTTTTATACCTACGTGACTTTACCGAAAGAACCAAAGAGTATGGATTCCTGCAGTCACGAAAGCTTCAAATCAAGATTGTCTCTTAACTGTGATTCTTATTGTTAGCTTCAATGTTAGGTTACTAACACTTCGTCACGAATGGACCGGCACCTGAGCACGTGGCTGACACGTTGCTAAGGTAAGAACCCTGAAGTAGATCCCTCAGGCCCTCGGGGAACTGGTCTCTGGGTTGTGCTCAAGGCCAGGACCAAGACCACTCATGGGCAGGGCAGCCTTCAGATGCTGTGGGCCTCGCCTTTGGAACGACCTGCCTGAGGATCGGAGGGCATTAGAATTGGTGAATGTTTTTAAACGAAATCTTAAAACATACCTTTTTAAAATTGGCTTTTATTAAAATGCTTTTATTACGTGTTTATTATGCACTTTATGATACTTGTAATTAATTATGTGATGTGCTTTTTTAAAATGTATTATTCTCATCGTTATATACATTGCGTCAGTCCCTTCATTTAGTCCTGTAAAGCACTTTGTATTGCATTCTTTGCACGAATTGTGCCATATAAGCAAAGTTTGATTTGATTTTTATTTGATTTAGGTAAGGCCCACTGAGCTGTGTAGCTCTTTCTCAGAAGTGGCCTGGTCACAAATGATAACTCGACGAAGTGGCTGATCACCGTGTGGAAGTGTATAGTAGCCAAACACTCTAAACGCGTGTTTATAAACGTGGAGGGAAAACCCGGAGGACCCGGAGAAAAATGCACGCGACCACGGGGAGAGACATGCAAATTCCAAATATACAGCAGGCGTCAGGGTCAGGATCGAACCCACGACTTCCTGCACGCCGAAACGATCACTCCCTCCTTCCTTGTTGAACCAATTCTACAATATTTGCACCCTTGTTATTGTGCTAAAGTAGGGGTCCGGCAACCCAAATAACATGATGAGATTGTTTTTTTTATTCGGTAAAAATAAATCAATATTTCAGGAGCCGGTGAACGCGAGAGACGGTGGTGGTCCTTAATAATTATTAACGCGTCACGAAGCAGTTCCTTGAAGAGCCCCCAGAGCAGCACCAGAGCCGCAGGTTGCCAACCCCTGCACATGGTACACTGGACTCCCATGGTAAACTGGACTCCCATGGTAAACTGGACTCCCATGGTAAACTGGACTCCCATGGTGAACTGGACTCCCATGGTGAACTGGACTCCCATGGTGAACTGGACTCTCATGGTAAACTGGACTCCCATGGTAAACTGGACTCCCATGGTAAACTGGACTCCCATGGTAAACTGGACTCCCATGGTGAACTGGACTCTCATGGTAAACTGGACTGCCATGGTGAACTGGACTCCCATGGTAAACTGGATTTCCACGGTAGCATCCTCCTCTTCGTGGATGTTTTGCTCGAATGTTTAAACGTCCGTTTCAACTCGAACGCGGCACAAGATTGTCCCTCTGCCATAGCAGCACTCGTCTATAGAAGCGTGGGGAGAGGGGGGGGGGGTCTAAACCCTTGGAATAGCTGAACAGTGCCACAAGAAACACGCATCTCATGACTCGCGACTACAACCTCGATCTCGCTAAACCTCCCACCACCGTAATCACCGATACGATCACCACCACCACCTCCTTCTCCGCCACCATCACCACCACCATCGCCGCCACTTCCTCCGCCCTGCGTATATAAGGGCGAGAGAGAGAAGACCGGTGGTGATTAGAGTTTCTGTCACAGTGTGACGAGAAATTAAGCGTTCAAATCATATCGTTCACAGTCGCCATGGGGCACCTCCTCCAGCCTCTGTTGATCATCACCTGCGTTCCATGGCTCCTCGGATTCACGGGTGAGCATTGCATTGCAGCGCATTGCAAATGCGTTATACGTACACATCCACGCACGCATATACATACACATTATACAGCCACATGCACCTCCTCGTTCTCTTCCATAGGTATACACAGCATTGAATTTGGAACATGAGTTAAACCACATCCTGTAATACAGTACTTAGCACAGCGTTGAAATGCGCGTTAGATATAAATTGAAACCAAAATCTACTTTCATTTCCTTAGCATCGTTCGCGTCGAAGGTGTATTAAACGAACCGGGGTGCCGTCACGCCAAGTCACGGCTCGAAAATTAAGTTGTCGGGCACCCAACGCTGTGCCCACACACTCGACACCTAAATTTGAATTTTCTCGGCAGTCGTCGTGACGAAAGTGTCGAGTTGTGTTGTTGTCCGAGATGAGATATAGTCACGGAGTGCGGTCGCGGCCTCCTCGCACCGTGACGCCTGCAAAGGGGCGCCAGGGGTCAGGGGTCGGCAACCACAATAACAGGAAGAGCCAAAGAAAGCTGCCTCTTTTGTGGACCAATCAGTTTCAAAGACAATGCAAATATTATCAAAATATGTTTTTGTTTGCATTCTGACCACAAGTCTTGTGGTTAATGCAGATATGATTCCTTGTAAAAGGTTTCAGTTTGGTGTTTTAACATCTTAACGCCTGTTTTGTTGCCAGAAAAAAGGGGAAAACCTATTCTCATGAAGAGCCAATTTCTTCTAATTCTTCTCCATATTCCGAAAACACGCATCAAACATTTCAGACAGGTGGATAAAACAAAATAATTAAACACAGGTGGCTGTGGTACGAGTAGATATACAAACACCTGTGCCCTGCTTAGCTCAGAGCTTAGGCCCCATTTACAGCCAATTAAACCAGAGGCCTAAAGCAGAGCCTACGAGTACGCGGTCTGTAATCCAGCACTGTGGATGCAGCGAGGATTGGTTGATCGCATAGATGTTGTGAAACTTCCATCCCGTGGGCGTCCAGGAGGAGCCTTTGCCTGGCTTGCCAGGAAAAGTCGGTTCAGGAAAATTGTGGACTCTGCCTGTTGCCTCTCCACGAGATAGAGTGTTTCCCCCTCGCACACGTCGGCGTTCTCCGGGCGCTCCTGTTTCGTCCGACAGATAAACACCCATTGATTGTCCGGTAACACCTTGGTATATCGAGGACTGCAGAGCTTGGGAATTCGTTGTCATTGCTGGCTGCTCACCGCGTGGCTGCCGCTGCCGCCGCCGCCTTCCCTCGCCTGTGGTTTCTCCTCCTGGTGCCTCACAGTCGTTCGCTCCCTCGCTGTACGACAGCGATTATTATGATTGATTCTGGGATAGAGTATGTCCTCATCGCACGCATGAGTCTTCTCCTGGAGCTCCCGTTTTCTCCCAACATGTATTGACACTTATTAATTGGTCGATAACATCTTCATACGTAGAGAACCATTGAGCTTTGGCAATTATTGGCGCCAGCTCGTTGCCTGGCTGCTGCTGCTGCCTCCCAGATTTTCCTGTCGTTCCTCCATGCACCTAAGAGTCGCTCTTCGCGAGTGCGTGAATACTGTGTGGTCTGTCACTATTTTATTATTTCCTTTGTCGTTGCAGCCTCATCAAATATATGTACACATTTCCGTTAAGAAGTGCAAAAACATTATTCAAATGTAGCAATGTAATGATAACGTGACATATGCGAATTACCGTTCTATTTAAACATCCAAAGTTTAAATGTATCAGGTTTACAATGTTGAACTTAACATGTTTTTCTACAATAATAAAAAAAAGTATTTGAAAATAAATTAATAATCGATAGAACTGACACAAAAAACTGAATTTAGCAAACATCAAGCGAGTTTAAGTCGAAATAATTGACACGCGACACATTTCATAACAGTGATATAATCAGGATACGATGATAAAAGACGCGAAGAAGAGTTTCTCAACGTATCCATAATAGAGGTGTTTTGGGTTAGAGCGCATCAATATAAATGTGTATTTAAACCCGGAACCACCCGACACGGCCAATTCATAGGGTTTGTCACGTAAACAAAACGTGTCAATTCGTTACTAGTACAGCACACCGGTGTGTTGGAGAGTAAACCCACAACATTGACAATTCGAGTACGACGTTCGCCGGTAATTACAACCAGCCTCATCAGGCAACAGCCAAAGTTTGTCAACTTCCAGTAATCGTTAATGTAAACCCAGCACGTGTTACACAGCGAATGCCATGAGGCAGGAATCAGGGTGTGGGTCAGGCAATGGTGCTTTGTTCAACACCTCCATGCCTCTAGGCTGGTGCACACCTGTGGTTCACACCTGTGGTGCACACCTGTGGTTCACACCTGTGGCGCACACTAGTGGCGCACACATGTGTGCGCACACATGTGTTGCGCACACATGTGGCGCACACATGTGGCGCACACCTGTGGTGCACCCCTGTAGTGCACAACTGTGGCGCACACCTGTGGGAAGAGTTTGTGCAGTGATATACAACGGAGAAAAAATACTGTTAATAGTAATACAGGTGGTGTGGGCAGGTAAAGATTACTTCAACTCATCATGCTATTACATAGAATTCCAACGGCACGCACAACTGCTCGATAAAACACGCAGTCTAAGAATTTGCGGGTGGGAGATATTTGGAGTTATTCCTTAAACCGATTCAACTCCAGAATTCTTCGTTGATGAGGAGTCAGCGGGATTTTGATGCAGCTGAAACCTTTGTCACAATCTCGCATTGACATTTATATGGAAAGGCGTTTCTCCCGAATTGATATTTCCAAGGAAAGAGTGGCCAGGCCTCACCATGGATTTACTCTGCTGACTTAATTCCCATAACACAGTCCTCATTTCTCTTGTTTAGTTTTATTATTAATAAATCATGTTTATTAAAAGCACGACTTATAGCACAACAATATTTCTAGAATTGGACACAAGGTTCGATTGAAAACTCAGATTCTTGAGATAGTTTGATGTACGAGTCAAGCCCTTTATCTCCAGTGCCACGCAGGCAGAAATACTAAATAGCACAGAGTTCAACATTTAATGCCAGCCAAAACCTTGCTGCATTCATGACAATGCAATTCAAAATCAGAATATTGATTTATACTGGAGGATTCTTATGAGCTATAAAACTATTCGTCACCGATGTCCAATTTGTATTGATATGCCACGATGGATGCGTTGACATGCTGGGGCAGAGGTCAGGGTGTTCTCGCCTGATTTAAACATCTTTTTGTTTAAACAAAAATGTATTTTACCACTTCCCCATCTACATTTCTGAAATATCAGTCGAGTAAGCGTTGCGTCCCTGCACATTCCACGCATTCTATAAAATACAAAACCTAACATCTGACTCCATTGTTCACTTGATGTTTTCTTACACGTCAGCCAGACAAACATATCTATACCATCTCGTCACGCAAACATCTTCACTACCGTCAGCTTCATGGAAATTTACCCAAAGCGTGTAAACATAAAATATGATGGTGATGTTGATAAGCCCATCAACAGAGGGAAATGCCTGCAAGCTGAAAACGAATATAAATTAACAACACTTAAAGGTGTGAGCACAAACAGCAGGGTGGCATGATTCTTGTATGCATCGCCCTGCTGTGATGGGGTTTCCATAGCTGTCACCCCACACGCTGACTCTGTATTCTTGGACAGGGACATTGAGTTTTTAGGTCCATACGGCATATAGCAGTTTAAATACGGGCACAACAAAAATAATACGGCCAAATAAAAAAAAGTGTATTGTTTAACCCTTCATAATTTTACGTGTTTATTGTTGTACAATTACAACATGAGTGTGCGCATCCACATATCAAGCAAGCATCAGCATGCAAGATCATAGACAGTAGCATAAGTAGCATCATTGACACCAATTAGAAAAATTAATACGTAAAACACTTTTTGTTTCGTAACATAATTTATGTCTATTTGTTTGTGTTTCTCCCTCGTATTGGGACTTTGTAGGATGAACGATGAGATGTATAAGGGGCACGGGGTGACCAATAAAGGGTTGTTACAGCTATGGTTTTCTCAAATCTTTTGCCGTCGGGCTGGAATCGAACTCGGCCTGCCGGGGGTCCGGTGCGCAGGGCGCTAACCTCTCCGCCACCGCTCCCCACGACTCGTACACCAACACCACTACCCCGCCGTTCGCCACCAAGCCTGTGCCAGGCCAGGTGCACTCCTAGGCTGTCGCGTAAAGTGTCGCTGGCTCGCTGCTGACAGGAAGAGGTCTCGGGACAGACCCAGGTGGTGCCATGGGTTGGCCGACTGAGATGGCCGGCAGCTGCACCACCACCAGCTGTACCCCCCACCCCCCTTACTGTGCCGACTTGCTGCACTTTATCGCCCGACGCAGTATTAGTAGCAGGGATTTCGCGACCAATATTATCCATAATACAGGTTTTTTGGGGGGTTAGATCGCGTAAATATATAAATGTGTCGCTAAACCCTCCACCACCCGACACAGCCCATGAGTAAGGTTTGTCACGTGAACAGAACGTGCCAATTCATTATTAGTACAGCACACCGGTGTGTTGGAGAGCAAATCCACAACATGCATAATTTGAGTACGACGTTTCGCGAGTAATTACAACTAGCTTCATCAGGCTGTCGCCTCACTAATTAGCTGTGTCGGTTGGTGGCGGGTTTAACGACACATTTATAAATGTACGCGATCTAACCCCCCAAAAAAACCTCTATTGTGTACTCGACTCTATGTCGACGTTATGTTGTACGGCACGTGGCCAACCGCGCGAATCACAGGTGCGGAGTGGTGGAAGGAAAACAAAGTGAAGCACAAAGGACAGGTCGCGTCTCGCGGCCGGGTTCACGTGCGGGCGGACAGGCGACAGCTGAGGACACGGAACGGAGATTTAGCCGCACAAAGCCCCGACAGCGATAGAAGACCGCTGACTCGAAACGCCAACCCGGGCATTATAAACTTCCCCGGTTCTCCTCTCACTCAGTGCCGGATTATCCAAGTAGCAAAAGTAGCTACATATGATGCTACGGGCCCGCACTTTCAAGGGCCCCGCGCTAAATGCTTTAAACCTAGAAATTCTGGTTCAGTGATTCAGAACTTGCTCTATACCGCCTTCAACTTTTACGAACGACTGGGTGTTCAGGTTAGCGATTTGTGAAATGAAAAAATACAATTACTTTACTATGCAAGTTAAACATTTGTGTTTTAATATTCATGTTTTTTTAGGGCCCCTTTGTAACAAATGAACCTCATGGCGGTACCCCGGGGTACCATAGCACCCCGGCTCTCGCACAATGTCCGTGATGCAGTCGTTTTTAGTCTGTTGATGGTCGGCGATGCGGCAATCGACTCATCTCGACGAGCTGTACACGATGCACCACTACGGTGCGTACCGCGAGCGTTCAAAGTTTCAGTGCTAACGTCCTCGCTGCGTTTCAACATCGCGGAGTGGCACCGGTTTTGGATTGATTGGTACCCCAGTCGCAGAGTTAAGTACACCCCTGGAAAAAAAAGTGTCCCAGAAATAAAATATTTAATTGCCTCAGTCAGTTTGTATTATTTGGTATCCAGGGGTACCGCCATGAGCATCATTTGGTACAGGCCCCACACGAGCTTTATCCGGCACTGCTCCCACTGCTTCCCGCTCGGCCGATTACTTTAAAATCTCGTGGTTGACGGCGATCTCCCGCATCGCAGAGTCTGTGGGTGTTGTAGCTTGTCGCGTCGTTAGTCCCCAAGGCAGTACCGGGTAGGTTTTTGTCGGCTGAGTGCGGATTCCCCGTAATGCTTGTGAACAATGACCTCAGGTAGCATGAGGGCGTCTCATGACTCGCTACATACTCGGCTAAAATGTTTATGAATACATACTCGGCTCTTTTTCACGTACCTGTCAACCCCTAATCAGTGCCCACCTTATTACAGACCAATTCAAACCTTACTAACTGACTGTGTCGGTTTAACGACAGATTTATATTTATGCGATCTAACTCAAAACAAAAACCTATATTTGGTTAATATGTAGGGGAAACGCATTTTATGCAAAACAAAAACATCATGGTTCTGATAATAATGCATTTGTATCTTGTCTCTTTCAAATGAACCCGACCTGGCACAGCTACAACAAATGCTCGTAAGTACTCATTATTAACATCATCTCTGCACGTCATGATAGATTGTGGCACGAGGACAACCACTGTTAAGCTGCAAGTCACCATTATTCAGGGTCTTGAGCCTGTCCACAAAATTGTTAATTTTATTGACCTCACAATGAAGGCCTGAATGAATCCCTGTATGCCAATAAACTTGCAATGTTATGACTAAGTCAAGCACTAACCACTGTGCCATGCTGCTGGAGTATAGAATGGTGTACTACTGGATTATGGAGTAAATAAACTGTATTTATATTCTGTAAATAGGACTTGGTCGTTCAAGTATGAAGAACAACACATTGCCAGAAAATGTACATTCCATAGATGTTAATGGGTTTGGTCTGTTTTAAATAATTATCACTTGGTGCGGCCCTGAGCACTGCTGCTGCTAACCCCTGACAATCGCTATCATCTCTGTGCGATGCTTCAGTCAGCTCATTAGTTAGTAACCAGTGAACTCAAGTCAGATGTAGCAATTAGTCATGTCGGCAACACATTTTATTCACAACACTACTGCACATTGGAAGGCCCTGGTACGGATCGCATTGTTTTGGACACGTGCTTTTGAGATTATCCACAACAATGATACAAAGACCCAGCTGATCATTGTGTTTGTCTTTTTCATGCCTTCACATTCGTCTGCAGAATCTTCTACTGACTCCACCTGTAAGTCATCACGCTCACACGTGACTCACAGCACCACGTGCTGGTACTGGCAGCGCCACTGTTTAGGCCCAGCCTCATGAGCAGTGCCCCAAGCTTGGGATGTCATCTTCAGGGATTGAGCTTCTTGCAAGTGAAGACGTGATCTGACACCTACATTCTTCCCTCACCTGATACTTCTACAACAACGAAAGCACTCCTTATTAAATTAACAAAATAATACTGTAGTCGTGTGACCATGTACAGTACATGATAAAAACAAACAAACATACATATGATTGACTCACAGAGTTTATAGACTATTCTGAGACGATCCTGGCCATAGTTTTGGCAAAAACTGAAATGTTCGCATGCAACAGGCAACCAGACGGGCACATTGATAAATCAAGCATAGATGGCACACTGTATACCAAGGTAATAAATACGTGTACATATGATTTTGTATTGCCATATGATCGTAATATTAATGTATTTGTACTTTGTCTCTTTTCACATAATCATGATCTGATTCAGCTACAACTACTCGTAAGTAATAAAAGTCAACACAAACATCTCAGTGCATGGTATGGGTCATTGTATAGAGAAAACAACAATTCGTGCTAACTGACCATGAATTGAGTCTAATTATATTGATCTCAGATTGATGACCAGTCGAATTGTTCCTTGCATGGGATTTATTTTGCTACTTTTTGAGTCAAGCACTCTAGCCACTCCTGTTAGATTAGAGAGTTTGTGTATTTATATTCTGCTGTAAATACGACTGGGTAATTCAAGAATGAAGAACAACCCCTTGCTAGAAAATATCCATCCCATTGATGAAAATGGGTTTGGTCTGTTTTACATATTTATCATTTGGGGGAGCCCTTAGCAGTGCTGCTGCTAAGCCCTGACAATCGCTATCATCTCTGTGCGACAGTGGCTCATTAACAGCATTCAGCTCATTAGCTTGTAACCATTGTGAAATCAACAAGCCAGCCGTAACAATTACAGTCGTGTACGTTATATATCTAGTTCACAACATTACAGCACAATGAATGGCCCTTGTATATCATGACACTGTTTTGGACAGGTGGTCTGTATTACATATTTAGTGGCATCGCGGGATGTCACTACGCAGTGCCGGCCTTAGAGAGGCACGGCGTGCGGTGTCACGACATCGCGGACACCACAATGGTGTGGGTGCAGCACCGGCCCTAGATGGGCTCGGTGAGCGCCGATTGATAGCGCTGGGTGGCGCCACGCTTGGCGTGCAGTGCCAGCCCCTACAGGACAGGGTGTGGGAGTGCCGGCTGTAGAAATGAGGTTACTAAAGGCCATGGCACTTTGGTTGACCCGAAAGGACACGTGACCAGTTAAGTCTACAAAGGGGCCCCAAGTGGGGGCTAGGGGGGTCACTTGGTCGGGGTCCAGATCCTGCTCGAGGATTCTGGAAGGTGGTCGTGGCCAAACGCGGAGCCAGCCACGCCGCAGAGGATCTAAGCCGGGTCCCCCAGAGGGACCGGCGTTGTTGTTCATCCTGAAGAAACCTTCGTCTACGTTCTCCGAGTCTCCAACACGTGGACCTGGACCCGAGCTGTGGTCCCGGTCCATAGTAGCTAGTTACGTGGTAATTAGTGTAGTTAGCCTGGTGGTCACCACCATAGGTTATTCTGTTAAGGGGCAGTTACCCCGTGTGTTGGTGTTAAATAAATGTGTTGCCTCCAAGTGTACAGCTGCGACTCAGTTGAACTCACGACACATATATTCAGGTTTTGAGATGCTCTATAACAATGATACAAGGACCATACTGATCACTGTGCTTTCGTCTGTTTCATGCCTTCACATTCATCGTTTACAGAATCTACTACCCTCTTATGTAAGTCCTCATGCTCACACGTGACTCACAGCACCACTTACTGGTACTGGCAGCGCCACTGTTTAGGCCCAGCCTCACGAGCAGTGCCCCAAGCTTGGGATGTCATCTTCAAGACGTGATCTGACACCTACATTCTTCCCTCACCTGATACTGCCGCAACAGCGAAAACGCCCCTCATAAAATGGACTAAATAATACAGTAGCCACGTTACTTTGTACAGGACTAGCTGTACTACCCGGCTTCGCCCGGGACTTGGATCCACCACGCCCGGCCGCCTTTGTCTCCCAAGTGCCGATGTTAATACGCCACACCAGTTACTCGTTTGAGGCTGAGTCGACCTAGGGGAGGTTCAAATAATCGTCACCGGTGGTGGCCGTGAGCGGGAATCGAACTCGGTTCGCCGGGTTGGTAGCGCAGCGTAGCGTTAAGCACTACACCCACCGCTCCTCACACACCACACACGCACAGACACACACACAGACACACGCAGACACACACAGACAGACACACACACACACAGACACACAGACAGCACGCTAAGCACTACACTACCGCTCCCCACACACCACACACGCACACACACAGACACACACACAGACACACACACAGACACAGACAGCACGCTAAGCACTACACTACCGTTCCCCCTACACAACACACGCGCGCGCGTCCATAGGTACACATACACGCGCTTGCTGCAGACACACACGACTTTCAGGGTGCGTAAGGCAGTAAACGACTGAAATAATAAAGCGGCAATGCTGTGCGAGGAACGCCTTAGACCAGCAACACATTTGTGTAATGCGAGCGTAAACACACAAACACATACAAACACATACACACACATACATACACACACATACACACAAACACATACACACACATACACACACATACAAACACACAGACATACACATACACACAAACACACACATACATGCACACAAACACATACACAATACACACACACATACATGCAGACACACAGACAGACACGTAACACACATACATACACACACATACATACACAGAAACACATACACACACATACATAGACACACACATACATACACACAAACACATGCACACACGTACATACACACATACATAGAGACACGCAGACATACACATAAAGACATAAAAAAAACCCACATACATACACACACACATACACACAAACACATACATACACATACATACACACATACATAGAGACACACAGACATACACATAAACACAAACACACATACACATGACCCGGCTTCGCCCGGGACTTGGATCCACGATGCCCCGCCGCCTTTGTCTCCCCAGTGACGATGTTCACACACGACAGCAGTTACGCTTTTGAGGCTGAGTGGACCTAGGGGAGGGCCAGGTCCGTTTCAAATAATCGTCAGCGGTGGTGGGCGTGAGTTGGAATCGAACTGGGGTCGCTCAAGCAGCTTAATGACTGTTTGTACAAAGAACATATAAAGAATCGATTATAATAACCAGGCAAGAGTCCACATTATAGACTGCCAGTACACGCAGTCAGCTTCATAAGCAGGCTAGAGTGTACATGATACAGTGGCAGTACGCTCACCGAGCTTAATAAGCAGGCTACAGTGTACATGATAGACTGGCAGTACGCTCACCCAGCTTAATGAGTATTTGTACAGTGAACATTAAAGTAATCGATTGTTGGCGCGTTGGGTTTAAAAGTAATATTAATAGCACACATTGTGGTGGGGGTGTAGTGAAGAGTAGGAAAAACTTTGATGAATTTACCTCAGAGTGGCGTGGTGGGTGTCGAGGCCTAGTAGCGTGCAAAGCCTGCGGCCTCGCCTAAAATTGTCGGCTTGGAAAAGGCAGGGTACGGGTGGCGTTCCTTCCCCCCCCCCCCTAGCGCTCCAACAATACTGTGTAATGGCTATTATTTAATTAAATACGGAGCTTATGAACGTGGCGAAGGCGTGGCTAGCCGTTGGCAGGGGCAACCGCCGTCCAATGAAACTGCAGCCCTTGGCGAAGGCGTGGCTAGCCGTTGCCAGGTCCAATGAAAGCGGCGAAGGCGTGGCTAGCCGTTGCCAGGGGCAACCGCCGTCCAATGAAAGTGCGTATGGGCCAAAGTCCACACACACACACACACAGACAGACATGAACGATTTTATATATATAGATAACTCAAAACGCACTAATTACTCATTGTGTTTATAGACTATTCTCAAATGATCCTGTTTACAGTTTTTGCAAAACTGATTGCAAATGTTTATATTAGATTATAAATATGATTGCAGTATTGTCTAAGACAGACACCCAATTGTCCCGTGGGCAAACCTCTAACATACACTCTGAACCTGGGGACCTGAGTTTGATTCTGGGCAACAGCTATCACCAGTGAATGATATCTGAAGTGATCCTGGATGCCCCACTGCTTCACTCACCCACACCGACCAGCGTGGTGAGGTATGGTTAAACATGACCGACACAACGTTAAACATACTCTTTGGTTCTTTCGGTAAAGTCACGTAGGTAGAAATAAAATAAAACAAATCACGACGTTTGGATCGCAACACAAGAGATCCTCATCAGGTGGGACAACCACATTCAATAAAATGCTGAAGTCGGCGGGAGAGCTGCCGTTGAAAGAGGTTATATAGGTCAGAGAGGGGGGAGGAGGCAAGGGGGGAGAGAGAGAGAGGGGGTGTGTGGGGTAGGGGGGGCCGCGTGAGCGCTCGGGGAAGAGGAAGTGAGGCTGGGGGGGGGGGAAGTGGGCGGGGCTAGAAGTGGGAAGTTGGGGAAGAACAGATGAAAAGGGTGCTAGTAAACCGGCAGGTAATGATGGAAACAACATCCAGTTAAGGCATTGCCTGGTTGATAACATACTTCCAATGTTCTTGGTTCTTTCGGTAAAGTCACGTAGAAGGGAAGCAATAAAACAATAAAAATAAAACATAATAAAATAAAATAATTCTCACGACGTTTCGGCTACAACGCAAGCAGCCGTCCTCAGGTGAGGACGGCTGCTTGAAACGTCGTGAGAATTATTTTATTTTATTATGTTTTATTTTTATTGTTATATTGCTTCCCTCCTCAGGTGAGGACGGCTGCTTGCGTTGTAGCCGAAACGTCGTGAGAATTATTTTATTTTATTATGTTTTATTTTTATTGTTTTATTGCTTCCCTTCTACGTGACTTTACCGAAAGAACCAAGAAGATGGATCCCTGCAGTCACGAAAGCTTTAAATCGAAATTTATACTTCCAATGATTGTTCAATTTGTATCATCTTCTCGGTTAAAGTTTTGTCTTTGTTTAAATATCTGGATGGCTTCATGAACAAACGTTTGATAGTAGCCCGAGCGTTTGCAGAGTACCTTGGTCTCGGAAAAAACAATATCATGCGAGCCCACAGCGTTTTAACAATGGTCAGCTACGTTAAACAATCACAAATTATAAACAAAACGTAGCTCACCCTCCGTCAAAGCACGGCGTGAGAATGGGCAGCGAAGCTGAGTGGGTGCAATGAATGGAAACTCAGAGCCGGGTGTCATCAGCGTAGCAACGATGGCCACTGCCGAACTGGAGATGATTTGGCCAAGTGGAAGGAGACGTTGTGAGGAGAGTGGAGGACGAAGGCGGAGCCTTGTGGTACACCACAAAGCAACGTTTCCCAGGAGGTGGGGGCCATT